GAACGAAGATAATGAACAAGAGCTAAAAGAGACCAAGAACGAAGACCGCAGTCTTTAGTATTGTTGAGTCGGTCATAATTGTAATCAAGACCGACCAACCCTCACGCATTGGCTCTTTAGGCTAAAACCTTTTACTGCATTTCTTACATTATAAAAATGTTTTTCAAACTTGTTTAAGTCATTAAAAACACTTGGTGTTCGCCCAAACCAAAAACCAAGCCATCCAGCGTTCGGGTTTCAGAAACCGGCGTTCGGCTCTCGGTTATCGGCTATTGTTTTTGGCGTCCGAACCAACCAAGTGGTTTTCAACTTTTTATGATTGGTTTTCACTCTTTGGAATGTTTAAACGGTTCTCCAATAAAAACACCTTGAAAACCATCTTTCGCTTTTGGTCGTTTGACAAAAATCATTCAAAACGGCATAAACTTGGCTAGCCATGGTTTTCACTCAAATGACGTGGTTTTTAAAGTGTCCTACTTGATTTCTTAGCCAAATACATCAAATAAGTGTTTTAAACACTTGGTTTTTACTTTGGAGAACTTTGAATTTTTCGGTCGAGTTTCGCATCGGTTGGCTAGGCCGTGGTTAAGGCAAAAACCATGGGTTCTTGACTAACCACCCACCCAGCGATGGGAAGGTCTTCCCATCGATGGGTAAGCGGCCCCTCAGCCAAACCAGTTTCCAGAACCATGCCAAACAGCGATGGGGAGTTCTACCCATCGCTGTTAAAGCCTTGGTGCAAAATTATCACCAGGCAGAACAACCTTGCCCAGCGATGGGAGACCTATCCCATCGATGGGAACCCAGCGATGGTAAGGGTAAACCATCGATGGGAAGCCATGACCGTTGTAGGTCATTTAAGGTTGATTCTTTCCTTGTTTGGAAGTCAACCTCCCAACCAGCGATGGGAAGCTTGTACCCATCGATGGGTAGGTGACCGTTGACTTCAAACCTGAAGAAAAATTGGCTTACCATCGATGGGTAAGTCCTAAACATCGATGGGAAGCCAATATTCTGCAGATCCCAAATTTATTCAATCCCATAAATCAAGCCAATCACCCCTTTAATGTAGTGGTCCGTTGGAGCCTATTTTGGCACTATAAAAAGGGGTGTTTGGGTCTACTTTTCTCACCAATTCACTTCACAACATCTATACTTTCATTGCATTCAAATATCATCATTTTCCATAGCTTTCTAGAGCCATTTGTGTGTGAAGGTTGAGTTGTTCTTGAGCGTACTTAGTTTACTCATAATCTATTCTACAAGAGAGTCTCGTTCTTGAGTGTACTTGTGTTCTTAGACACGTTGAGAGAAAGTATTTCTCTCGTTGATTCAAAGGAAGGTCTGTTTCCTTTGAAGGATTCGTTGAGGTTCGTGTGACTCGAACTCTCAAGTTGTAACGATTTGTTAAGCACCCGCAAGCTTAACGAGATAGTAGTGTAGCTCGAGAGAGTCTCTCGGGAGGCTGGACTAGCCACAAGTTGTGGTGAACCAGGGTAAAATTCGGTGTGCCTTTTACTCTTCTCTTTACTTCTCTTTTAATTTTTAAATTCCTGCGATTTCTCCGATCAAACGCTATTCACCCCCCCTCTAGCGTTGGTTTTTTATTCTAACAACTGTAAGTTTGGTACGTATAACATATTACTTAGTACCAAACGAGATGACAAATGCACACTTCCCTGTTTTGTGGCCTGGACACGAGACCCATCAGGGAGACAAACAGAATGAGGGGAAACATCCTCAACATTGACTAGGTGAATAAGAGAACCTGTCATGTTATGCGAAGCGCCACTATCAATTAACCAATCAGAAGAAGAATTACCAGTGTATGCATGAGAAGCGGACGCCTCTAACATAGACATCAATCGAGACATTTGATCACTGAGGTTTCCGCTCGAGTCAGATACTGAAGCATGAACAGCTGCAGGAGGACCGCCGCTATTGCCCTGGACCGGCTGCCCACTGCCGGCAGGGGTGTGAGGGGCGTTGCCGTGCCGAGTAGAGCCACGGCCACCAGACGCCGATCCCCCTCGACCTGGGGGGCCAGTGTCGCGACCCCGCCCTCCACCACGAGCATACTGTGCTGGAAAACTGATGAGCTCAAAGCATGTATCCACGCTATGATTAGTACGACCACAATGCGAGCAAGACCTGTTTGGGACGAGAGGGCGTTTGTCGGATCGGGCAGCGAAGGCAACGGAGTCCGTGCGATCGTCTCTAGTGCGAACGATATGGCGATGGCGCTCCTCCTGGGTAACCAAGAAATACACACGATCAAGATCGGGCACCGGTTCAGTGCCTATAATCTGAGAACGAATATTCCCAAACTGCTCATCATCTAATCCAAGTAAGAAATCCACGGTTTTGTCACGATCAAAACGGGCACGCATAACCCCTGCGGACTCAAACCAGAAGCCCCCGGTAAGATCAGAGGAGCCATACAATTGATTCCACAACGTAATGAATTGGTTGTAGTAGGAAACAACACTTTGACCTTTCTGACGTAAAGAATTCAACTCCGACTTTAACTGGTACACACGAGGCCCATTAGAACAACTATAACGTTTCTTCAAATCATTCCACAATTCATAAGCTATTGAGTGAGAAACAATACTGGGCTGGATAGATTCATCAACACTGTTAAAAATCCAACTACAAATAATTTGATGATTAGCACACCATGCGGACAATTCCTGTTCATAAGTAGGTTTAGGAACACCTCCGGATGACAAGAAAACAGATTTTCCACGACCATCCAAAGCATTACGGATCGCCTTCTCCCATACATCAAAATTGTCACTTTTAAGAAGATATTTTGTCAAGGAATTACCCGGGCCTTCGGAGGGGTGAAGGTAATATATGGAAGAAGGATCATGAATGAGCCGAGTCTTTTTAGGGTTGGAGGCTACGACTTCACCGGACATATTGATAGACGGTGATCGGGAGAGCCGGCGACGAGAAGACAACGGCGGTTAACAGCGAACAGTGCAGCGACGGAGGAGGGCTGACGGGCTCCAGACTCCGGCGCACCAGCGACGAACAGACACAGCCGAACGGACGGCGAAAAACTCTCGGTCGGCACACACACGAGAATACGAGCGTAGGGTTTCGAGACTTTGCCCTAGGATCGCTCTAATACCATGTAGAAATATTTTACGTGAAACTGGGTTTGCCATTAGTCACCGGGAGTTTATATACAAAGCCGAGAATACAAGTCACGGGCCCAAACTATACACGGCCCAATACACAATAAACAAATATACATAAAATACTAGGCTAACAAATAGGAAATGAGATCAACATTGTATTTCTTGTTTACTACTCTACTAAAACATGAGGATAGAGGTTTTAGTAGATTGGTGTTTCTCATCTAATTTCTCATGATCAATTATACTAAATTTTGAAATTACTCCTAGAAGAATTAAACTAAAGAAATTTAAATAGCACATGCATTTGGGTAGTTTGATGGTCAAATTGAAAGAATTTTAATAATTATTTAACATTTCTTTAAACTAAAAATCTAATGAAGATATACGTATTAATACATAAAATACTACCTCAAAAAATACAACAAAATATTTACATTAAAAATGTTTTTTTAAGAGTAAAAGTGAGGAGAATAAAAAAATTAAAATGAAGGAGACTAGGGTACTCTAAAGCCACTCGTAATACATGTAACGCCAACCGGTGTTATGATACTTTTGAAAGCCCAAGGGCGTTAAACACCGCCCCTGGGGCTTTACCGTGGCGTTATCTTTCCAACGCAACTTCTCCGTTAATTTAGCCGTTGGAAGCAAAAAAAGAAAAAATTAATTTTTTTTATAAATTTCAAACTACATCTCTTCCCATTTCATAATTAGTTTTTTAATATAATGAATGTAATTTTTTAAATGATTTTCGCTTTAATTTATTTTAATTTAATGAATGTAATTTTTTTAAATTATTCTTGTTTCAATATAATTAAATAATAAAATAATTAAATTTTATTAATTTAATTTTAGAAGATGTATATTCAAAAATTTAAAAAATAAGATTTGAAATCCCTTTTTGAGCCCGGGCTTTAAGCCCATTTCCATTAATCTTCAAACCCGTCCCTTCAGGACAATTTCCACTACACCATTCGGCAGCGCTGCCACTCACCGTTTGGGGAATTGGTTTAACGAAGGCTTTGTTTGTGTATATACTAACAATATTGGTCCGCCTCTGATTCGTGCATTGTACAAATAGCTTTATCTATGAAAAATTGATGGGAGAAATACGAAAATAGCACTTTAATAGCACTTTAATACTCAAAATAACAGTGCTATTAGTTTTGGAGATGAATTCTCTTTTTTGTCCTTAATTAAATAAACACCTAATACTAAATTCTCCTAATTAGGTTAAAAAAAGCTTTACGGGCCAAATGCTATAGCGTAGCAGCCGATCTTCCTACTCACGCGACCTCGTCACACTGCCGAACGCAAAGCCGCAGCAGCTTCCGGAAGGAGACCCAGGGTTTCAATGGCAAGGGAGATGCACTGGACAAGATCCCTCTAAGCAAAAGATTGGAGAAGATACAGGTATGCTTCGTTTTTGGCATTGAATTTGCTTCTAAAAAATTTCTCTTACAAAGTTTAGAATTAGGTGTTTTTTCCGGTTGGCATGGGGTTTTTGTTGAAGGTTCACTGCAATGTGTTTTTAAATTTTCTTCACTACGTTAATTTTTCACTGCAGTAAGTTTAGGCAGTACGTTTTTACTGCAGTACGTTTAGGCAGTACGTTTTCACTGCAATGTGGTTTTGGCATTTTATTTTCACTGCAATGTGTTCCCTTAGGTTCTAGGCAGTGTGTTTTATTTTTTAAGCTTGGCAGTGTTTTTTGATTAACATATTTAATTTTTTTGGGCTTTGTTGAACTCGTTTAGGTTTTTTTTTAGGAATGTTACACGTAATTCATAGTTTAGAATATGTTTTTGCTTCGTTTTGGCATTGAATTTGATTCAAAAAAAATTCTCTTACACAGTTTAGAATAAGTTTTTTTTCCGGGGTGGCAGGGGGGTTTTGTTGAAGGTTCACTGCAATGGGTTTTTAAATTTTCTTCAGTGTGTTCTTATTTTCTGTAGTGTATTTTTTATTTCCATTTGGTTCTTGAATGAAGGACTTTTGAAGAGAAGAGGTAGAGCTACCGGACCTTGTAGGTATGTAGCTGAAGTGGATGACTTGTCCAAAGATCCCATTGTCCTGGATGGATTCAAGGTGGAAAATAAAACATGGTTTTATGAGCTACTCCCTCCTGTTTGACAAGGCGTGCAACTCTAGAGGGGGGGTGAATAGAGTTGTTGAGAATGTCTACCGATTTTCGCAGGATATATAATAATATAAACGAAAGTGCAGCGGAAATAAAATAGAGAAGGCAAAGAACACACCGATGTATACTGGTTCACCACCTCGTGGCTAGTCCAGTTCCCCGAGAGACTCTCTCGAAGCTACCACTAGTTCCGTTAAGATTACGGGTGCTTAACAAACCGTTTACAACTCGAGAACTTGAATACCACAAGCCTCGACACAACCGCTCGTAGATATGCCCTCTACAAGATTTCACAACCAAGACTTAAATCACATAAGCCTTGAACAACAAGAAGAACAATCTTCTTCAACCTCTCAACAATAGCTCTCAAAAGAGTAGATAAGAGAAATGATTAAAGCTCTAATGGATGACAAGAAACCTCTCTTAAAAACAAATAGTTCTCTCAAAATGATATAAATTTGAGGAAATATTGATGGAGGATTAACACCTCAAGAATGGGGAGTATTTGAGTGTTTCTTGTTGAGAAAAATGACCAAGGAAGGATGCTTAAATAGGAGGTGAAGAAATATATCCGTTGCAGAAAAGATGCAGCATCATAATCGATTAATGCATCACCATAATCGATTAATGCATCATAAAAAATCGATTATGGCAGCTGAAAAAATCGATTAAAAATGCCAGAGCCAAAATCCTTCTACGCAGAAAAGTGATAATCGATTAAAACCAAAGGTGTTAATCGATTAGTTCCTTCTGGACGCGATAATCGATTAATTCCTGAGGTAAAATCGATTATTGCAACAATAATGCCCAAACAAGAAGAACACAAGCATGTGGGCAAGGTGAAGGACAAAATGGAGCGTGTATGTTTGTTTGAGACATTTAGAACAGGGTAGGAGGCTCCCCATCACCTCAACTATTATTCAAAATAAATTTTGAATAAGTGAAATATATTTGGAGTGTAGAAATTGAGTCCCAAAAATATTTTGTGTGTCAAACGATGTACACAAAAATATTTGAATACAATATTTTTACTTTCCAAAAATATTTTCTAATATCAAAATAAATATTTTGAAAAATGTTTGACACACTTTTTGTAACTGACTCAATAAATGTATTTTGAACAGTTAAAAAGATTTTTCAACTGACTCCAAAAATAAATGTAATTTTTATTTTAACTCTCATAAAAGTAATTTTGGAGAGAAGATATTTTTGTCATCCTTACAAAAATTCCTAAGACTCAAATAAATAAAAAGTCTTCGGAAATCTTCTACTCCTCCGAGTCCTCCGTTAGGCGCTCCGAACGCGTCTCGGACTCCAATAAAATCCTGTGCACCTTCTTGAATGCTTCAAGGAATGGCACTTCAAGTCTTCGTGTTTGTTGTTGTAGCACTTTGATCTTGACTTGAATAAATCGTGTTTGTCAATTATCAAAACCTGTGAGTCAACACTTAACAACACAAAAAGGGTTGAACTCATGCATTCCAACAATTTCCCCCTTTTTGATAATTACAAGCACATGGAGGATATGCTATCAACAAATAACAAATTAAAGCATATACTCCTATACTCTTCCCCCTTTTGGCATTATCAAAAATAATGCAACAAAAGAACTCATGCATTCCGGGGAGAGAAAAAAATTTCTAAACAATTAAGAAAAATCACATTCCCCCTAAAATCATGCATTTCTAGGAAATAAAAATATTTCCCCCTTAAAGTATGCTATCTCCCCTTTAAAAAAAACATACAAAAAAAAATAACACATATATCAATAAATTCCCCCTCACTATATGCAAAACATCCTATGTATACCCCCCAAATAAATTCATATAAATCTCAAAGATAACATTTAATTAAAAAAGAATTTACTCCCCTTTGATGCAATCTCTTTTGGCTAAGTGCTTGGAGCATCCACTACAAATTTGTAGTCTTCAAGCACGCCTTTCAAGTGCTTCTCGTGCCCGACCACCCATCTTGTTCTTCAAGAGCAATGAAGCAATCGTCTTTGGAAGGTTCATCATACTTCCACGAAAAATAAGCAAATTCATCTTGTTTGCTCATTTTCTTGAGCTTCAGTTACTCGAATTTTTGGTGGCCAAGCTTTCCGCACTTATGACACCTTGGGGTGTTTTTCTTCTTGCTCTTGTTTAGCTCATGTTTCAAAAACTCGTTAAAACATTCAACCAAAATATCACAAGAAGTGCTAGAATCATTATCACTATCAATATATGAATCCGAATCATCAATCTCTACATTTTGAGAAGAAGATGCTTTAAAGGCAATTCCTGTTCTCTTCTTAACATCAAAAGTATGAGAAAGATGATTTGTTTCGTAAGTGATAAGGTTACCTCGAAGACCGTCGTATGTGATGACGTTGTAATCCCGGCCTTCGTAAATGGAGTTTACCTTTGACTCCCATTCCTTGGTAAGACTTCGCATGATTTTCCTCACTAACTCCTTGTCGGTGAGCGTCTTTCCAAGCATATCAAGGTCGTTGACGATGTTTGAAAATCTCCCAAACATGTCCTCCACAAGTTCGTTCTCTTTCATAGCAAATAACTCATATTCATGGGTTAGTAAGTCAATTTTTGATTCACGAACTTGAGGCGTACCTTCGTATGTGATCATGAGCTTGTTCCACATTTGGTTAGCGGTTTGGCAACGAGATATCTTTTGATAATCGTTGGCGTTGACCGCACAATACAAGAAGTTGATGGCGGTGGCATTCAATTGAGCCTTCTTGAAGTCGGCTTCATCGTATTCATCCTCGTCCTTCGGGATGAGTGTATCGCCTACCTTCTTCATCGGCAAACTATCTCCATTCTTGATAGCAAGCCAAATTTTGAAGTTGTTTGATTGAACAAAAATCCTCATTCGCTCCTTCCAATAGGAGTAATTTGTTCCATCAAAAAATGGCGGCCTTACGGTGGATTGCCCTTCTCCTATCCCTGCGTTCAACATTCTCAAAAAAACTTTGATCGTTTTCTCAAACGTCACAAAGAGCGTTAGAGATACCTGCTCTGATACCAATTGTTAGACAAGTGTGCAACTCTAGAGGGGGGGTGAATATAGTTGTTTTCAAGAATGTGCGTTTTTCGCGTGTGTGAAATAATAAAATCGCATGAATAAATAAAGAGAGTAAGGGAAAGAAGAACACCGAGATTTATACTGGTTCACCACCTCCTGGCTAGTCCAGTCCTCCGAGAGACTCTCTCGAAAGTCCTACTAAACTTCAAGCTTCAACGGGTGCTTGAAAAACCGTACAACTTGAGAACTTGAATCACACAAGCCTCACTTTCTTACAACAACAAGACTTGAGTCACACAAGTCTTAAGAACAACACTCAAAAGAGATTGAGTTTACAACACAAGAATGAAGGCTCACACAATTGAGCAAAGTAGTGTTGAAGAATTAAAGCTCTATGGATGACAAAAACTTTAGCACTCAATAAAAATATTTTTAACTCTCAAAATAATATATTTGATGAGGAAGATGGAAGCAAGAATTGAATATTGATGAATGAAGATATTGGAGTGCAAGAGATGTATTTTTAATGAGGGAGGAAGAGTGTTTTTATAGGGAGAAAAGAAATAAATCCGTTGGATGTAGGGATGAAATGTTTTTGACAGATTAGACCGTTGGGGATCGATCCAGGACAAAGGATCGATCATCTGGAGTAATCGATCGAAAAAATATTTCTGCAAAAACTTCGGGGGATCGATCCAAGTAAAAGGATCGATCCAAAGGGACCAAATATCCGGAAACGAATTTTTGCAACCCTTCGGCGGATCGATCCAGAGAAAAGGATCGACCCCAATCCCTGCAGCTCACAACAAGATGATCGATCCAAACAGTTGGATCGATCTAAATACGAACAGCTCTCAAACACGAGGACCCCAGACATGTGTGCGAGTTGAGTGAATATTTTGGAGCTTAATGACTTGTTTTGGACAAGAATTTGAATATGATAAGGCTCCCATACACAAACAAATCAAATAGGTTGGAAGGGAATTAATTCAAATTCAAAATTTGAATTAAATATTTGAATTTTGGTGTAGAAATTGAGTCCCAAAAATATTTTGTGTGTCAAACGATGTACAAGAAAAAATCTTTAAAGTACATTTTTCTTACAAAAAAATTTGTGTATTCTTAAAAAATCTTTTAAAGAAATTTTGACACACTATTTTGAAACTGACTCAAAAGAATATTTTTGGACACAAAAAAAATAATTTTTCAACTGACTCAAGAAATAATAATTTTTATCCCTCAAAAATAATTTGTTTATGCGAAAATTATTGTCATCCTTACAAGAATTCCTAGACTCAATAAAAATAAAAAGTCTTCGGAGTCTTCACTTCACTTCAAAAATCTGCGTAGGGGTGAGCGTTGAATTTTGTCCCGTAACTTTCTTGATACGTCTCTTTGCTTTTCTCGATACGAAAAATACATTTTCGATTATCGTTTAAATTTCATCATCCTGTTTGTCATTTATCAAAACAAAAATATTCCAGAAAAATAATAAAGGGGTTTGAACTCATGTCCAACACCTCCGTCCCACTGTCTTTGTCCACTTACCTTTTGACACACCATCCAATATACTTCTTTAATCCATTTTATCTTGTAATTTGTATATTAAAAAATTATAAAAATTATATATTAATAATCTATATGTTATGACGAATCAAACAAGATCACACATGACTATATTTAGGCTTACACATTGAGAGAATTTGATGAGCCAAAGTGCTTAGATGAACAGTTCCAAAAGTCAAAATTGGACAAAGACAATGGGACGGAGGTAGTATTTACCAATACAGAGTGGTTGCGCAGCACGGTGAGATTTTTTATGCCTTTTAGGTTTAATGGGGTGTGAATTTGAAGTACAAAATATGTCGGGTTTATGACTTGGTTTTTGTCATTGGAGTGATTTGTATGGGATTCAAGTTTTGAATACCGTGGGGTTTTTTTGGGGAGGTGTAAGCTGTGTGAATGTAGTGTGTTTCCCTTATTTTTGGGCAGTTTTTTAATGGAGGATAGACTGCCAATTTGAAATGGTTTTTGGTCATTGTTGTTTTAACAGGACAGAGTATACTGCCTAATGAATATGCATTTCGGCAGTATGTTTATCTTTGTTTTGGATAGTTTTTTTTAACATGATGATCCATAAGGTTTTGGGCAGTGCTGTTTTTACAAGTGGGTATACTGCCTTAAGACTTTGGTTTTTCGGCAGTGTGTTTATCTTTTGTTAAAGTGGTTTTTTTACATGGCAGTGTATACTGCATATTGCATAATGTTTTTGGGCAGTTTTGTTTTAACATAGCAGTGTGTTCTTTTGGTATGATTTTTATTAAGCAGTGATGATTGCGCTGTTAGGAGCGTACAATATGTGTTATGTAATACCATAATTGCGGTTTGTTTTTTTATTTCAGCATATAGAGATTGCAATGTTCTATCTTGAATTGAAGAGCATTCAATACAGCTTGATCCAGACATACACAGCAGCGTCACCATATTTTTTGCAAGGACTCAAGACGCACCAGGAGATGGTAGACGTTGGAAAGGTGAAAATGGAGGCTGTGATTGAGAATTCAAGTTTATCAAGTGAGGCCGGTATTAGGATTAGCGTGAGAATATGTGAAGCCTTGGTGTGAATGTGATTTTGTATATATGCCTTTGAATACTGGGAACCACTGAATGTTACTTGTGCTCGAAGTTGAAGGAAGGAAGATAAGGGTTTATAATTCTAAAGAAAAGAAAGGGCAGACAAGTAGGGATTTCATTCCATACGTGGCGTGTATATCATCATTGTTACCCAAGCTTCTTGACATGTTGAATGTGTATGAAAATCACTCGGATGGGCCAATGGGAGATCAAAAGCTCTCAATTGATATAATTGATGGGTGTCCTCAACAAAGCAACGGGTATGTGGTAGTTAAGTATTATGATTTTGTGAGAGTCACCTTACCTGTGTTGAAAATGTAGGCAGTAAAAAATGTTTACTGACTTTAAATTTTTTATACAAATGCAGGTGTAATTGTGGTATGTTTGTAGTGAAATTTGCAGAGTTTCTAATGATGGAATTAAGCATAGATGAAGTGCAGTCATGTGACATGGAAGGTTACCAGGTTAAACTGACAACAGAACTTTTAGCTTATAGCTATGAGAGGAAAGAAGAATCCAGAAAGAAATAGACTTTTTTTAAACCTTGGATATTTTAATGTTCGTATGACAGTTGTTTGGAGTTTGTTTTAGTTTTTGTGTGGTATAAATGATATTTTGATTTGTTTTAGTAATAATTTATGGGTATTTAATTAATTAGTGAATTGAGAAGTGGATTGCTGGAGACTTTTTTATGTCACACTGCCATGACCATTCCATGTCTCCAAAATTGTTTAGGCAGTCACTGCACACTTTGTTTAAAAAAGTACAATATACGCTACAATGTATGCACACTCTTCACTGCCACATTATAAATAAGTATGAAATTCGATGCTCTTCACTACCACAATATGTTTAAGATTGAATTTAGTGCCCTACCACATACGAGTCTTCTGAAAAAAAGAGCAGAATTTATTTTATTTCGTGGGATTTAGTTTTTTTACGGTAATTATACACTAGAATATGTAATCTCTACAATTCCAGAATATGTTCTTCCAAAAATTCAATGTGTAAAATACACACCAACAGTATTTAGACCGCCACATAATATACACAATGCCAATAACTCACTGTTTGAAATACACTTCCAGAAAATATACACTGCCACAATATATCTACACTAGCACAATACATTCACTGTAAAAAATTCACTGTCGTAATACACTTCCACATTTCACAAGGAATTTAATAAGAAGTAAACGAATGCAACTTATATCCTATTCACTTTTTGTAATTCAATGGTGCAAGTGGACAAAGTATTATATATTACTAAACAAAATCAAGTTATAGTATAAGGAGTACAACTATTAAAAGAGTGAAAAAACAAAGAATGTGTCTGAACAACGTCAAAAATGGATGAAGGAAATTGTTGAGAATTGTATATTATACGGAATATGAAAGAATGGAGTGTCAATTTGGTATTGGGTTTTTGCATGTTTTTACGTTATGCCCCAAATTCAAACATCGTGTGCATCTTTGCTTTCTACGCCCTTGGCCTATTTGAAATTCACCGACAGATGGAAGTCTCCTCTTCTTTGGTCTACTCGGGGGACGCTTATTACAAGATGGAGGCTTGCAAATAACTGATGCAACATCCGGCGGAACACTTTAGGAAGATTTATCTCCTATTGGGTGCACAATGCCATTGTAAATAGCAACTAATGATTCCCGTCTGTAGTATGGTGAGATAAATCATAACATGACAAACCAGGGCGAGATGCAATAGCTGCAACAGCATGAACACATACGAAATGGTCCAACTGAAACTCACCACAAGTGCACGTTCTGTCCCTAAGGTTAACAATAAACCTTTTTTTATTTGTATCATTTTTTTTGTTTTGAAAAAGAAATAATGTAACGAACTTTTAATTATGTAAAAGCGTGCCTGCGTATCTGAAAAAGGAATGAATTATCTATTCGAACAGCACGAAGGTCCATGAGCAACGATCATCAACACAAACAACGTGTAAGCATGACTTGTTCGACCTCTTTGTCCTATACAGGGAGCTAATAGATAACATTCTATTAAATTAAGTAAATAAAGGAATGAACTCAAACAATAGACGTATAACCTAATATACACATTTAGTCAAACATGTGAAGAAGTTGAAAATCATGTCTCCTAACCAATTATACTCTGCACCTATACTTCACAATGCGAACTTTAGTTTATTATATGTATACATCGCACAACACACTTCGAACTACACTATGTTAATCTTCAATGCCACTATGCGTATATTTTTTACTAGCACTCTAACACACTTCGAACATATGCCACTATGTTAAACATTCTCTATGAAGAAAAATAAGAAAGAAATAAAACAAAAAAAGCAGGGGAACATTTAGGCATTTAATCTTC